CCAATCCCCCCGATGTCCCCCCAGTGTCCCCAGATGTCCCCGATGTCCCCGGTGTCACCTTGAGGCGCTCCTGTCCCCTCACGGCCGCCTGCAGCTCCAGCTGCAGCTTCTCCAGCTCGGCCATGCGCGAGTTGGCCAAGTCCTGGTTCCCCTCCAGCTCCGCGTTCAGCATCTCAAACTGGGCACGAATGGACCAAAATTCACACAATTTAACCCAAAAATCAAAAAAAATCTAAAACTGCCCAAATTCCAAAAGAATTCCCAAAAAATTCCTACAAAAAAAACCCTAAGTTTGACCCAAATCCATCAAAATTTGATCCAAATCCATCAAAATTCCAACCCAAACCCAAGTTCAGCATCTCAAACTGGGCACAAATGGACCAAAAATCATAAAATTCACCCCAAAGATCCACCGGGATTCCAAAATTCCACAAATTCCCAAAAAAAAAAAAAAAACAACAGAAAAAAACCCCAAAATTTGAGCCAAAGCCATCAAAATTCCATCTTAAATCCATCCCAACCCCAAGTTCAGCATCTCAAACTGGGCACAAATGGACCAAAAATGCCAAAATTTAACCCCAAAATCCACTGAGATTCCAAAATTCCACAAATTCCCAAAAAAAAATTCCCAAAAAAACCCCAAAATTCCAAAGAAATTCCATCAAAATTCCATCCCAAACCCAAGTTCAGCATCTCAAACTGGGCACAAATGGACCAAAAATGCCAGAATTTAACCCAAAAATCCACTGGGATTCCAAAATTCCACAAATTCAAAAAAAAATTCCCAAAAAAACCCCAAAATTCCAAAGAAAATCTGAAATTGCACAAATTCCCAGAGAATTCCCAAAAAATTCCCAAAAAAACCCCAAAATTCCAAAGAAAATCTGAAATTGCACAAATTCCCAGAGAATTCCCAAAAAATTCCCAAAAAAACCCCAAAATTCCAAAGAAAATCTGAAATTGCACAAATTCCCAGAGAATTCCCAAAAAATTCCCAAAAAAACCCCAAAATTCCAAAGAAAATCTGAAATTGCACAAATTCCCAGAGAATTCCCAAAAAATTCCCAAAAAAACCCCAAAATTCCAAAGAAAATCTGAAATTGCACAAATTCCCAGAGAATTCCCAAAAAAT